TTTGTGTGGGTAAAAGAACGGATTCATAATACAATCCTTGAACCAATTAAGCCCAATATTGTGGAAAAGAATAATAATGTTTAGGCCCTTGTCATACCACCTCATCGTGCCAGAAAAACTGTGTGGCCCTATGGCATACCACGTCATCATCTGGTATGACAAACAAATCGTTGAAACAACAATAACAAAGAAATGGCAAGATTTTTAAGATAAAAAGAGTTGTTTTTAAGTTGTAATTAGGATGATGTAGTCATTAAATAGTGCAACTAGTGCATTCCAAAGACAGGAAAGTTGCATACCCAGGGGGCGCCCAAGGGTTTGAGGTTCCTCCTTCATGAGTAAGAGTTTCAAACTTTTATAGGCTCCGTATTTATTGTCAATTAATTTTGAGTTGGATGCTCAAATCTTTCGTTCTCAAGCTTTAAATATGCGAATTAAACGGGCTTTCAGTATTTCTCCTCTCCTCGTACGTCCTTGTAGTTTATCTTGATCACTATTTTACAGAAACACATGTATTTATGTATACTAAATTAAAGCTTACTCAGTATTGCCTATCTGATTGGGGGAGGGGCACACCCATTGACTTACCATCCCATACACATCATTCACTTATGTCTGGGCCACGGTTAATCTTTGACAATCCACATGTTACTTGTACACAGATCACTTGTGTACTATTACCACTAGATGTATAACAGTGCATGTGGGCTTACATACATATACGAAGGCTTACGCATTATTCAACTAAAACTAAATAAAAAAAATAAAAAAACCAATCTCTATAAATAGGAGTTCTTATAGCTAGCCAGAGCATAGAGAGCTGCTATTTAGGTTTGAATTATATTATTTGTGACATCTTCTTCTTCTAATTACTAGCTTGAGTTGAGCATAGAGATCTAGGCTTAAACTAAAAAAATGGAGAAGAAGGGAGTGAATATGCGAGCAGCCATGGCTTCCTTGGTGTTGTTGGTCACGTTGATAGGGCGATCCACTGCTGTCGAAAATCCTGACTGCTACGCCGGATGCCTCCCTAAGTGTGTCAAAGGTAGCGTGCTTGGCTCCATCACGTGCACCGGCACGTGCATAGCACAATGCTTGGCCAGCAGCCCTTCTTTAATTAGTGTACCCAAAGACCATCACTACTTTTGTAAGCTTGGATGTGCTTCTTCCATGTGTGGCCGTTTGATCAATACAGAAAACCCAGGTAGCTAGCTACTCTTTTTTTAAAATTAAAAAAAAAATTATTTATTAAATTTAGTATTTTTATTACTTTTATGGATTTAACTTCTTTTAACTTGAGTTCTCTTTTGCACGCAGAGATGGGGAAAGTGGGCAGCTGTGTGGATTCTTGCTCAGATAAATGCAGCATAAGTAGTACCTTACCACATAACTAAGAAGGATTTGGTTTCTTAATTATATATATATATATATATATATATATACTTTCACAAATGTATGAAGTCTGCTTATATGATGCAAGGCTAAGTTGGAAATAAAAAAGAACAATCTTATGTGTTACTCGTGCAATTTGTTGTTGAGCGACTGAACTAACATCTTGATGGAGTGAATTGTAGAAAAAAACTATAGGTAGAAATGATTGATATTTCAAAGATCAAAGGTCTAGTATTAATAAATAAATACATATACAATAATATAAATAAATTAATAATATCATGTGGCGGTTTGACAACCAAACCAAAAAAATTCTCCATTTGAACACGTTATAGTTCGGAAAATAATTTGCATTAATAACATTAATTCCCGTAAAAGTGATAAAATTAGGCATGACCTTGTTAAAAAAAAAAAAAAACAGATGAACTAAGAATATGCAATCGTACTTTATGCACAGATGAAATGTATGGGATAGTTTGTCTTAAATCCAATAAGGTATTGAATGTTTTTGTGCTAGGGGTTTCATTTTGTAATTTCAGTTTCCGTATTTAAAAAATAAAAATAAAACTTGCGACTAGGGCATATGTTAATTGATGGAAAAGCAATCTTCCTCCCAAATTATTATTTTTTTTAAAAAAAAAAACAGAAAATGTGTAGACAACACTGGTCAAGATTGGATGTCACCAAAGATTGGTTAGACTGTTAAGCAGTCTTGTTATGACTCAGTCTGCTATCTTAGGGCAGAGGGGTTTACCTCAGTGGTGAGGTCTCTCCCCCTTCCCCCCCTTGGTCACCTGTTCGAATCCCAGGATAAGTGCCCCTCTCCCCAATGCAATGTATCTATTGCTAATTCTCAAAAAAAAAAAAAAAAAGGCAGAAATTAAATCTCAGTGTATATATAAGTACATTTGTTTTTATCATTAAGTATATATAATTACATTTGTAACAACACTTGTGCTACTCATTCACACTAATAGAAAAAATCAAGACAAAATTTTCTCAATCTTTTTTCGCTCTTTTCTTACGATAACCGGATGAGACACATTAATTTTACACAAACACAAACCATGCACCGGTATGTGTCACAATTGAGACAAATTTTTTGAATAATTGTTTAGACTTACACTAATTAATTTTTAATTTAGTGATTTTTCTCTTTTCAATAATTAAAAAAAAAATCAGTTTCAAATAACTCTTCTATCATTAGTAAAATAAACAAAATTTGCTAAACTCACCGTGTTATCATATTTACATGCATATGGCATGACAATCCTGAGAAGTACTCTTTTCTTAGTCCTAATTTATTTGATATTTTATTTTTTCTCACTAAAATCACACGTATTATTAACTTATCAAATCAAGCGCACGCATTGACTGATAAGCCAATATAACAATACACATGTACACCATTCACTGATGCACTTATGATCCCATACATGCACACCAACACCATCCTCTTATGTTCGTGTTTAACTGAACCCCTCTACTTCTTCTTCTTCTTCTTCTTCTTCCTTTTTCGGGAGAGAAGGCTTAAAGTCTAGAGAGAGGTAAGACGAGAGTTGAACTCTAACAACGCATGTGAAATTGTACTCTATATTAGCAAGACCTCGCAATATATATCTATATATCTATATATCTATATATAAAACTCAAATTGTATAAATAGGGGTAAAGAAGTGCATCCTCATGCTATCTAGGTTTTGAATAATTTTTCTGATAGATTTTATTGTGCAAAGCTAGAGAGAGAGAGAGGCTTCAGAAAACTTTTCTAGAAAATGGAGAATAGAGTTATGTGTTTAGTGTTGGGTTACTTGGTGTTAGGGTTTCTGGTGGCGCAGAGCAGTGCTATTGACAATCCAGGATGCTACGGCGATTGCGTGGATAAATGTAAGAAAAGCAAAGGCCTTTTGGGGGTTGCCGCATGTGGCGTTATATGCGTAGCTGAATGTGCGTTCGGCAGTCCTTCTTTACATAGTGTCCCCAAAAACAGTCACTACTTTTGCAAGCTTGGATGTGCTTCTTCCTTGTGTGCCAGTTTCTTGGATCAAGAAAACCCAGGTACAAATAATTTTCAAGCCCAAATCATCGTCCATTTAGGTCATAATCGAATAAAATGATTTTGTTATCAACCCCTGAAGTTAGATTAGATTTTGATTTTGGCCCTTCTTTAATTAAGTAGATTATACATTCACGTATATGCATTCGTTTGCACGTTGCATGTATCTACGTGTATAATTATAATCGTATACCTATTAACGAAAATCAAAATCTAATCTAATATATGAGCTTAGTGAAAGAAAAAAAAAACCTATCTTATTAAAGAACGAGAATTCTAATGCCCCCTTTCTTTCATATAAGTTGGAATGAGAATTCTAATGCCCCATAAAACGTAGTTACCAATTTGACCTTAATTAAAAACAAAATAAATTGAATGGGTCAAAATTGTAATTTGACCTAATTTGTTTTGCTTCTTTTAACATGAGGTTTTTTTTTTGGCCAAATAACATGAGTTATCTTTCGCGTGCAGATATTGAGAAAGTGGGCAGCTGTGTAGATTCTTGCTCAGACAGGTGCGCCACGAATACCTTCGTACCACCTAATAAGAATTAGGGTTTAGCTAATCATATTATGTAAGGCTAATTTGAAACTAAAATAATGAATTATGAATGAGATATTATTTTGGATTGGCTCTGCTTCCAAAACTAGCTCTTATCTAAATGTTCACGGGTTGGCACGCTTCATAGTTTAAGTCTTTAATTTAAATAGAAAGAAGAAATTATCCAAGACGCTCTCCTGTATTATTTGTAAGTGGTGCGACCGTGCGATGCACATGGAAGGAATGGAAAGTTTGCACAAGTCCTGAAGATAAGATGGATTAAAAGGGAGTCAGTGAGTTAGGCCGGCCCTGGGCATGGGCCTCAAAATTCATATATGCTCTATATGGCCATGTTTAATACGCCTGATTGAACTTAACTGGGTTAAAAACACTCAAAATCCATATTTGGTAACAAACGAAACTAACTTAAATGAGACTATATAGTCCAACAGTGAAGAAAATGCATCACTCCCTTGTCTAATATAGTGAGCCAGAAAAGTGGTTCGCTAAAACTTGCTCGCTAAATAGAACACACGAGTCCGACGCCTTTTATTTGTTGTCTTTTTATTATTGTTTTAAATAATTGAATTCTTTTTTTTTCTTTTTTTGCAGCATTTATTTATTTATTTAGGTCAAAATCCATAATAAATTTAAATTTTACACGAATTATTTTAATATTGCATTTGGAAAATCAAACAATAATAATTTACATATGTTTGATATTCTTTTGATATTGAAACAAGTTTAATAATTCATGATATGCTGCTTTCTTTATCGCAAGCAATTTTTAGCTTGTCAAATTATATTTTTCAGTTTGAAGTCAAAATTACTCCCTTACTATGATTAATATTATTTTTTTCTGTTTGTTTAAGATGTAAAATTATGACTTTGGAAATTTGACAAGATAAAATACAATATATAAAGTGAGTGGTTCCATTACTATCTCTAATAATACGTTTTGTGATAAAACTCATATCTACTAAGCTTTATATGAAGTTGTCGGTAGTAATTTTGCCAACATAGTTACCTGGCTGCTGTCTCTACCGGTTCTATCCAGACTGTCCACCTATAAACCAAGCCATTATAAATAGGGGTAGAGACGTGCTCTGCCATTTAGCTATAAGTTTCATTTGTCATTTCTTGGTTCGGTCGGCAGAGAGAATAATATCGATGGACAAGAAGAAATTGAGGTCACTGGCGTTCGCTTATTTGGTGCTGGGGATGATGCTTGTGGGTCAGTCCACTGCTTCTTTCGAAAGCTGCTATGGGAGCTGCTTCATCCTCTGTGTCATCATTCCTACCAACACGGTTGGCTCATGCACCCTTGAATGCTTGAAAGATTGCATCATTCCAACCTCTCCTTTAGGTCAGATTAATATCCAAAACCAGAATCACTATAACTTCTGCAAGCTTGGATGTGCTTCTACCTTGTGTTCCAATTTCAGCACTAAACAAAACCCAGGTACGAAATCATTCTTCCTTATCACCGGTTGTATATGCAATCGTATGTTTATTAATGAAGAGAGATAGATACATAATTATATACAACTGATTGCAGGTTAAAATGAAAATTCCACTTCCCTTGTCTATGGATTTAATTTATTTGTTCTTCATGTTTATTTGTTTTAATTTGGGTTCTTTTTCGAGTGTAGAGATAGAGAAAGTGAGCGGCTGCGTGGATTCTTGCTCAGGGAGATGTAAAACCAAGAATACCTCACCGCCTAAGAAGAATTAGGGTTTGATTAATTTATGATTACTTCTATAAGTAAATGTTTATTCTTGATAAACTAATCATATTATGGGAGGCTAATTTAGTATTAAAAACCAGACCAATATATAAACATTAGTTTGTATGATATGATTTGCCTTGAACTGGCTCTCTTCTATTTGAAAAGTGTTATCTATAATGTTCACGGGTTGGCATTTGAACTAATTATATACTAATAATACCATGTGGGTTTATGATTTATAATGTAATGTGTAATCACCCAAATCATTAAGGCTTGTTTGGGACTACTTTTCTAGGAAGCAATTCTGCTCATAAGTGCTTCTAACAAAAGCGTTTTTATTATATAATTGTTGAAATTTTCATAAAAATCGAAGTGCTTCTTGAAAAAGTACTTGGGAGTGCTTCTCCAAAAAGCACTTCTATGACTCAGAAGCATTTCTAAACTTTTCTGCCAAATGCCGTCAGAAGGGCTTCCAGTTGTCAGAAAGTACTTTTAACCCTTCTAGAAGCACTCCCAAACGAAGTGTGAATGTGGTGGTGTTTGCTTTCTCGTGAGTGTGGGGCTTTGGTGGCCAAAATCATGATATAGACCTTTAAACCTTTTGTTTTCTTTTGGCCCCAAAATACTGAATTTACCGACATTCTGAGAAAAAAAAGACCCCCGAAATAGTGACAGTGTGGAATATTACAAAATGATAGCATGTGAGGATGCAGAGCTTCCAAAAGCTTCCAAAAGCATTAGTAATTTTATAATCATATTTTGTTGATAAATAGTTAAGCACAAATAGTGCTCAGATTGAATATTTGATTCAACCCAATGTATAAATACAAGGGTGATAAATCCCCGTCCTTGGGCTTTTATTACATTCTTAAATCCTCAATATCATATTCAATTTGAGATATTTAGTCATATATCCATTTTTAGCACTACATATATAAATAAACCCTACATCATTTAATTTCTATAAACAAACCTAAAAAAACCAAAAAAAAAATGACAGCTGGCCCTATTAAATTACTTTGATGCCCTATTGAGTGTTTTGGGTTTTTTATGAGGTTTTGGGGTTGGGCTTGTTTTAAGAAATCGATAGCAATGTTGTTATTTAGAAGGAGTTAAAAGCCTCTTTGTTATGTTGTAAATGGATTTTGGATGTGTTTCTAAAGTCCATTTCATATAAGTTTTTTAATAATTTAGACCCCGATATTGGGTATAATAGTGAATCTTCCATTTAATTTTTGGTATCAAAATCCCAAGTGCAGAATCAAAGTGGAAGCTAATATGTGCCACCACATATCAGTGGCGGACCTATTAAGGCGCAAGGAGGTGAAGCTGCACCTACCCTCATCGGAAAAACCATTGTAAGTGCTTTAAATTGCCCATTTGCTCAACTGGTCTACAGATGACCTTATTTCCATTTTTAACATTTAAGTAAATGTCTTTGTCTTTGTCTTTCTACTTTCATTTGTTTTTATATTCTCCATTTACTTAAGTTTACAATGTAAATAAGGAAGTACCCCCCATTTGGATTCAAATAAAAATACTAGAAAATCAAATTCCCACCAAATCAAAATATGAAAAATCGGTTTTAGTGCAAAATATGATTTAGGCTAAAAATGATGGTTCATTAAGTCAATATATACTTCATATTAAAATCCCATAAAATCAAGTTTTCTTATTTGATGTGTAAGGAATAAAAGCTGCCAAAAATTATCTTGAGAAAATGATTATTCCGAAAAACCATTTTTCATACTTAGTCAATATTGCACCTCCGTTAAAAAATTTCTGAGTCCACCAGTGCCACATATTATGCAATTGTAAGAATTCATAGATACTACTATTGACAGGTGGTTCTCAATCTTCACCACGTGTCTGATCGCGTTGCGCGTGATCGGTTGATGAGGCATTGTTGAGTAGGCCGTCTACGTGACACATCCTGATTGACGAGGCATTGCTGAGTAGGGCGTCCACGTGACACGTTAATGCATGTCAAGAAACATTGATACCCTCTTTGTTTTTTCAATTGCTTACTCTAAAGGAGTCTAGACCGGTGAGAGGGCAAACCCTACTCAAATATTAATATTAAAATATTTAAACAACCCTACTCCATGTAATTAAGCTAGACTCTAATTATTTTGACTTTTCTTAATTCCCCATCTTGTGTACTAAATTAAGGCAATATATTGAGATAATTAGGCTCATTATTATGGCGATGATCAAATTATGGAGTTTTCGACAATATGATTTTGGGGGCTACATAATTATATGATATGTATATAATTGCTCAACGGAAAAGGTGTCCCTCAATAAAAGGGGACTATAGCCCTCAAGATCAAATCAAGATGATGCCCAATTTTTCTATATAATGTTTAAAAGGTGTTTGGCGCTTATAAACCATGAAAGAAACCACTCCCCTTCCTATACAAATTCTAACAGATTTTCGGTGGGATTTATTGTAATATTAACAACCCAAAAGAGAGAGAGAAAAAAACTTGCAAAGCTTTGGGCGGTGAGAAGGTACAGTTTTGGCCGTACAATTTTCCACGAAGGTTTGATGGGTGACTTTAACGGCAATATCAAACGGAAGTGTTTTTTTTTTTTTGGGTCTGAAAAACGAACGTTAGTTAGTTCTTCGTTTCCATTTAGTAGCTTTGTCTAGGTGTCGTCACATCATTTGTCCGAACCACCAGCTGGCAATCATTTGTCTAGGTGTCATGTGGTACTACAGTAGTATTGTATATCATGTAGGCATGTACTAGGCCTGGAAAAAAAGCCCGGGCCCGATGGGCTGGCCCGAACCCGGCCCTATTTTTTAATGCATGGGCTTACCCGGCCCGAAGTAATGGGCGGGCTTGGCCCGGCCCGAAGTCTAATGAGTAGGGCTTGGGCTTCATTTTTAAGCCCTTTAAAAGCCCGGCCCGGCCCGATTATAATTATTTTATTTAATTAATATAGTTATATTATATATAATATTAATAGTTTGAAAAGGCCCGTTACTTTGTCTCATATCTCCCCAACACCTTCATTTTTTAAGAGCATGCTTTGTCTCATATCTCATCTCTCCTCCCAACACCTTCATTTTTTATTTTTTTCCCTTCTTCTTCCTTCCGTTACTTTCCATCTCTCCCTCTCTCTTTTATTTCTTTTTTCCTTATTCTTCTCTCCCTCTCTCTTTCTATTTTTCCTCCTTCTTCCTCTGTTAGTCTCTGCAATTTTTTTTTTCTCTTCTCCCTCTTTTGCGTCATCTTCCATATCTCTCTCTTTTTTCTATTTTTTTCCATCGCTCTCTTCTCTTCCTTCGTCTCCTTCTTCCCACTCTTGAAAGGAAGAAAGATAAAGTGGAGGAGGCTGGGAAGGAAGAAAAAGAAAGAGTAAGTGGGGGTGGGTGTCTATTTCTGTCCCACATCGACTTCACACATCAACACAATTATTTTTTCCTTTATAAATAGCTTGGCAGGGTCAGTCATTTGTATATGGGCCTTCCATTTGAAGTTCTTGCTAGATTGCCGAAATCCTCATTTGGATTATTGGATTTTAGCATAAATCTTAGTTGAGATTTTTGATAAATGCCTTGGCATTTATAGTCTCTAAATATTATATTGATTTGAAGATTTATTATTGTTTTCGGATTGGAATTGTGTCTTAATAATGTTATATATATACAAGGGCCATATAGGCCCGTCTTGAAAGCCCGAAATAGTTTGGCCCGTGGGCAGGGCCTGGGCTTTGCATATTTCATAGTGGGCTGGCCCGGCCCGGCCCGATAGTTGTCTAGGGCCAAAAAAGCCCGTTAAAGATAGGGCTTGGGCTCACACTTCTTAGGGCCGGGCTGGCCCGGCCCGGCCCATTTTCCAGGCCTAGCATGTACCGCACACATAATGCTTTTCTTTTTCAGGCTATTTTTATGACTTTGCTGCTTGAAAGGAACCTCATACAGGAAGTGATGGGTTGGGAAAATAAAATATATAATTAAATAATAAAATTACCTTTAGAAATGGCTCACTCACATGCATTTCATATAGCTATAATATTAAAATGGGAATAATTTAGGGGGCACAGCTAATTCATGGTACCAACTTATTTACCAACCTTTTAATGTGACGAACACTATGGCAATTCATGTTATATGGATTATTGATTAAAATTACCCTCTTAGATGGAAAGTTCATAGAGCTCAAAGCCAAATTGAAAATCTAAAAGTCAAATATAGAAAATCTAATGGGAAAACTGGAACACGGCAATAGTTTAGGGGACACTGCTAAATTTTTCACTAGTCCAAAAATTCTAACATGGGATTGAACCCTCCAAAAGGAAAGGAAAAAATCGAAATTCAATTTTTATTAATATATATAGAAATCAAGTCGAAATTCAATTCCTTCACTCTCGTGGCTCGTATTTGAAGTCACATATATATGTTATTGATCAATCTAGCTATGAATATATATATATCCACCTAGCCTACATAAACCCTTTTAAGACAATACAAAGCTTGTCATTCAGCAAATTAAGAGCTTAGCTAGGTGTTTGATAGAAGAGAGAGAATGGAAGCCAAACAAGTTCTGGTTTGTTTAGTGCTGGGATATATTGGTCATGGGGCAGTCCACAGCTCAACTATTCCAACTGTGCTATGGTGCTTGCTTTGGCATCTGCATTGTCAAAGAACACAATCTTCTCAAATGTGGGATTCGCTGCTTGAAAAAGTGCATCCTATCTCCTGAACCTTTGGACGGCTGCCAAACAAATTCTCTCCATTTCTGCAAGCTTGGTTGTGCCACCTCTTTGTGCACTAATATCAGCACCAAAGATAATCCAAGTAATTTCAGTTCTCTCTCTATTTTGTGACCGTAACATCACCCTGCCGTGTTATCAATTTGCCCAATTAAAATCTACGGTTGTAATAAGTTTATATTTTATGGCATAATATCAATAAATATACATATATTAAAACATAGATGAACTAATAACACCACGTTCGTTTGTGATGATATTATACATCTAAAATTTTACTCGTTTGTGTTTTTGTTTTGTTACATATGTTTTGGACTGACGCTGTCTTCTCTTATTATTATTATTATTTCTCTCAGATGAAGAAAAGGTGAAGAATTATGTGGATTCTTGCTCGGGAACATGCACCAATGCTCAGGCTTCAACAAAGAACTAAGAGTGATCACGTGACGTGAATAGAATTATGCAACATGTGGTTGGAATTTGATTGCTTTCATGTAGTGATTTCAGCCAAAAAGAATTGTGTGGCTGGCAATGCAATAGAAAATATGCATGTTCTAGAGTCCTATATTATTGGTTGTAAGGATGAGAATCTGAAATAAATTTGCCCTTAAGTTATGACAATCATAAGATCAATCTTTACTTTTTACTTTTATTTTTTTATTAAGAAAGAAAGTCATCAGATCAGTCAATCCCCATGCAAGCCAACATTCCTTGAACTGCTTAAACAATTTTACATGTTTTTCCAATCAGAACAATCATTTGTTTCCCGAAAGACCTCAAAGAGCGAGGATATGAACTTCAAAATCGGAGTAGGGGAACATGAAGTCTGACCTCGACTCATTATGTCACTGTCGGACAGTGACTCGAGAGTTGTTCAATGTCACTTTCCGTGAGTGACTTAAGTTTATTTCATCTCACTGTCGGACAATGATTCGACCAGTTTGTCTAATTCTTAAAGAGCTTGACCATTTTATCTTGATGCATGCCCTCCTATTTATCCTTATATGGTAAAACCCCTTCTCTTTAATGGCGTGCTAGCGTTTGGGTTTCTCTTACAAATTTATGAATATGATATTGAGCTTTTGGTTTCTTGTGACACCCTGACCCTATTTTTATTGCCTATTTAAATGATTTAATTTATTTAATTATGAAATTACAATTTTGCTCTCGGAGATAGGGTTATTTTGGTCACTTTTTAATCTGGAAGGATTTTAGGAAATTGAATGATACTATGATGTAGATCGCGGTGATACGAGTTCGTAGACACGTAGTGGGCTCAAATAGGAATTGTAACGAAGAAGTTACGAGCTACGGAAACCCAGTGGCATAATTGTAAATATTTTGAACTCCAGTTTTTTTTTTATAAAAAAAATTCTGATTTTCTTCTCTCTCTCTCTCTCTCTCTCTCTCTCTCTCTCTCTCTCTCCCCGAGCCCCCTCATTCGCGCAATAGGCCCCCTTCCCAACAATTCAACCGATCGGATTTTTGGCCCTCGTGGCCACCACCGTCCACCTCAGGCCACAATGCTAGTACCAAAAGAACCACCTCCACCTCCTCTCTCCATCCCACCCCTCTGCCACCCCAACAGACAACCACCGTCGCCGGAAAAATGAGAAAACCGAACGGTTTTGACCCAAAGTTTCCGGCGATTCCGACCATCATTTTCGTCGATCTAGGTATGTTTTTTCATCATCTCAACGTGTTCTAGCTTATGGTAGGGTTGATTAGGATCGATTTTTAAGTTTTGGAACTCGATTTATCGCTTAAAGTTTGGCCGGTTTTCGGCTCATGATTCTGGCAAGTTCCGGTCACTTGTTAGCCATGGTCCAAGAACAAAAGTTGTTCCACTCGTTGTCCTGGTCACGTAGGTATAGGTATTGTTGGGTGTTTCGAGAATTTTCCGATCACTGGAATTTACTTTGGCCACCCATGCGCTGCCCGCATGTGTGGCGGCGCGTGGGCCACTTTTTGGCCGCCCATTGGGTCCTAAAATGATCCACATGCCGTCCCGAGCACGACGATATGCTCTGATTTGAATTTGGTTATCGTTTGACTGTCGATTGTATTACGCATATTGGGCGTTATCCCGGTTTGATATGTTCAGACTGTTGGATCGACTCCAATTTCAATTATGTTGATTTAGATACCTCTAGGATCATGTAGGAATTCACGGATCATGAATCGAAATCCCGGATGCTCCAATTCAATGACTTAAAGTTTGCGTAAAACAGTAACTGTCCGATCGTGCAATTGCGATCGATTAGACCTTTCGATTCGGACCAAACTTGCAGGACATGTATAATAAACCTTGTTGAACCCATAAAAACTTTCGGATTAGAAATCGGAGGTCATGGGCCCTGCATGCCTGGTTGACCAAATTTGGGACGTTTGACCACTCGGTTGACCGAGCGTCTTCCGATGCTATTCCACCATTCAGAACATGTAGTTGTACCTTATGAACGTCTCGTCCATCATACACACACTTGAATCCCGGAAAACTAGGGTTTTATTTTAAAGTCTTGTTCAAAGTATTTTATTTTAATCTAGTTCTCGAGTTCTTAAATAGGTACTCCAGCTATTTGTACCCAGCGGGACCCTTGCAGGGTCAAGCAGTGTTTGACTATCTATAAGTGGACTTTGTTTTTAAACTATAAAATTTCAAGGATGAGAAAAATATGCATAATGATTTCTTGGATTATTGAGTTAGAATATATTTAATTGTCGAATATAATATTTTTATGAAAGTAAATGAAGTATATTCGAATAATTGTGGATTGTGATTATTTTGGAATGGACATGTGCTATTTTTGAGAATGAATATTTATTCTTGGATATGTGTTAGGTATATGGGGTTGTTAGAAAGAGTTTGTGAAATGTGGATTGGGTTGTGGTTTAAGTCAGTTTTGAGTGCTATTAACACTATCCTATGTACCTCCCCATATTTGGAAGTTATGGATTGGATACTTGGAAAAGTTTGGGATACTTGGATATGTTGTAATCCGGGACCCTTGACGGGGTGTTTCATAGACTTTTAGCGGGGTTAGTCTGTACGTGTAGGATTTGTCACATGCGTATGAGTATTGAGGATTCTGATGTACGTGTTGGTAGGGCCAGTTCCCCGGTTGGACAGCTCGTTCCCTAGCCACATAGTCAATTGAGGATTCTTTCATGTGGAATAGTCAAACAATCCCCTGGTTGGATTGTTTCCCCGATACAAGTTTGGTAGTGGTCATACTTATATGTATATATATTATTTGTTGGTGAGGATACTTCTTCGCTTGCCTTGCCAATGGGCACACGATTCGAGGGAGTAGTTTGGGGAAAATGGGAAAGGTTTTTGAATGAGAAGGGTACTTGTATATTAGCACGAGATATGGATTTCATCTGGGTTTTGGCTTGACTATATATATATATATATATATATATATATATATATATAATATGTACTTTGGTTTTGAATGCATGTCGGTTTCAGCATCGTTTTCTAAACGGTGGGGTTATTATATGTTGTTTTCAAAGATAACCAACTTTGTTTTTGTTCACTCACATGTTTTCTGTTTTACGCCCCCTAGGCAGTAGATAGTCTTGAATCGAGCGGCCATATCGAGTTGTGAACTCCGAGCCCGAGCTTGTGTAGGCAAACTTTCATCTATTTTCATTTATGTCAAACTTCGTTTCGTTGTAAATTGAATTATGTTAGATATGCTCTTTTATCGCCCATGTTAGGGTTGATTGTAAGACCAGAGGCCTATTATGTAAATTGTCTGTTATTATCTTGTGCATGTTGCCGGATTAGATTTTTTAATGTGTTTGAACATGTTGAAAATTTTGGGAGTATCCATTTTTTAAGGGAGACTCTGCCGAAATTTCGGTAGTAAGTCTCGTTCCTTTCTAGTAAGTGGGCCCGATATCAGTATGATGTCGGATAATCTACAGGATTCGTCCCCGATTCCGAGGAATTCAGGACGTGTCTTGTCATTTCTAACATGCAAAATTTTCCTTTTATTTTTCTTTTTGCAAGTCTTAAAATTATTGAAAGTTATACCCATCAATTAATATAATCCAATGATTATCTTACTTAATATACTTCTTTTATTAAGAGTGCTGTTATTTCCACCTACATGTCCTATTTCCCCACTCACCTTAAGAATAATGGTGGGTAAAAAGATAGGATTGTATTTTTTTTCAAATTACATGGTGGGTGGAAAAATAGGACACGCAGGTGGAAATAGTAGCACTCTTAACTAAAGGTGTTTTTTATGCTTAAAAATATGAAGAGATTATTTTGAGTTATTCCAATAATTAGAAGTTCTTTATTTATGTAATGTCCTTAAGAGAGGTCAGGGATTCGATCCCTGCTCTCATATGGAGTTACCACTTTGGCCAGCACTTTATCCCTTACGGGCAATGGCGGACCCAGGAATTTTTATAGGGGTAGGCTAAATATTTTTTTTTTGAGAGGAGATATATTATAAGCCTTTTTTCTCTTGAAACAAAAATGTAAATAAAATTTTATAAATCAAACAAAGTCACATTACAAGCAAATATAACACCAAAAAGTACAAAATATAAATAAATATCAAATCAAACACATTGTCCAACTTCAAAAAAATTTGTTCGATTGCAAAAAAAATTAAAGAGCTTACCTAGTGAAGTGGAACCCTTCTCTCTTTGAGTGTATCAAAATCTTTGATTATTGAATCTGAATCAATATCCACAGAAAGCTCTTTCTCAATGTAGAAGATGAGGGAATCTGCGAGATACTCATCCTCCATTTTGTTGCGAAGTACAGTCTTAACATGTTTCATAGCTGAAAATGCTCGTTCTGTAGTCGCCGTAGAAACCGGAAGAGTTAACACTAAACGAATCAACCTATCAATCAAATAATATGCCTTTGATCTGTCTGTTTTAATTAATACTTGACATAGTTCTGAAAGAGTAGACATATTTTGAAAGATATCAAGATCATGTTGGTGTACTTCAAACTCAAAAAGTTCGATCTGGCACCTCAATAAACGTAATTCTTTAACAGTGAAATCTTGAGGATAAAATTTCTCTGCAAGCTTGCAAATATCATCAATCTTAAATGATTTAAAACCATTGCTAGGGTCCAAAGCAGAGCTGAGAATAAGAAGTTCCATTGTTCCTTCGCTAAATCTACTATTTAACTCTTCCCATTGATAATCTATTGTATCATTGAATAAATCAACCCGGTAATGATGTTCAATTGTAATATCATCAAGTTGTTGACAAGAACGACGTGTACCAGCTTTATAAGGAGCATTCATATCCGGCATATCGATGTCATGCTTTTTGCAAAATGATTCCACTTCCTCAAAGAAAGTATCCCAACCCTCCAATCTTAATTTCTGAAGAGCATCTTTTGTACTACGAACTAAATTCATGGCAGTAAGAATATCTTGAGATTTATTTTGCAATGCTCGACAAAGGCTATCAGTAAGTCCCATAATTTTTTCTAGCAAATTCAAGATAAATATGAACTCGTAAGATGTCATCACTTTGAACGTACCAGTTGCTTCCCCACGTATAGAATTAGAGGATCCATCCTTAATCAAGGTCTCAACAACTGTACAAGATGCATTAAACATATTTAATAAATCCGAACAAGAATCATAATGAGAGCCCCAATGAGTAGCACCAGGCCGATGCAAGGTGCCAATTTGATTAAGCCCTCTACCTGTCTCACGTTCACCAGTGTCAATCATATGTGCAATATCAATTTCTTGGGTAGATTGTAACTCACCATGGCGCTTGGGAGACGCAGTAATAAGATTGATAATGGAATTCAGTGTTGAAAAGAATATCCAAATAGGAGCCACATCTTTTGATGCTGCAACTAATTCTAATTGTAGCCTGTGAGCAAAACAATGCACATAATATGCATATGGGCAATCTCTAAGAAATAATGCTTGTAGTCCATTCCATGCACCTCGCATGTTGCTAGCACCATTATATCCTTGACCTCGCATTTTATCAATTTGGAGACCAAAATTCATAAGAACCCGAGATATCTCTTTTTTAAGTGTCAACGAACTAGTATCTTCAACCCTCACAATCTCAAAAAAACGTTCTCGTACAAAACCATCCTTATCAACAAATCTTAAAACAATGGCCATTTGCTCTCTATTAGATGCATCTTTTGCTTCATCAACAAGAATACAATAAGTTGATTCCCCAACTTCATCATGAATTTTGTTTCTCACTTTGTCAGCAAGAATATGTAAAACTTGCTTTTGAATTGATAGTGCGGTATATTTAGCATTTCTCGGGGCATTCTCTAAAACAACTACTTCAGCAACTTTATCATTCCATTGTGCTGTATATTTTATCAATTCAATGAAATTTCCATGATTCATTGAGTCTATGGATTCATCATGACCTCTAAAAGCACATGCTTGAAATGTAAGCCACCGAACACTCTCAATTGTTGCCTTGAGTCATAATCGGTTCTTCAAAATTTGATCTTTCGGTTGTTTATGAATAACTTTCTCAATATGCTTAGATGATTTCATTAAGTCTTGAGCACCTCTGACACAATTGTTATGTGGTGAAGATGGACCTCCAACATGAACCAAAAATGCACAATTCTTTCCATCATTAACTCTTTTTCAATTATTGAACCCATCAGTAATTAGTGCAGACCCACTTGCTGGATTTTTTTCAAAGACAAAGCATGGTAAACAATATGCTTTATCTGTTGAAGGAGAATACTCTAACCATGGAAATTGTGAAAACCAAGAATGTTGAAAACGACGTCTTTGTTGGCCGAACAAAGTCCTCGGATACTCAAAAAGTTTCGGTTGATAAGGCCCCAACTTAATATAAGCCTTTCGAATCTCATCACGTTGATTGATTGGGTGCTCACAAATTGGAATGCGTTTCCCAGGATCCCGTTCTAAAGAAGCAATATCAAACTCTTTAGGTTGAACTATGTGAGATTCTAGTTCAGAAAGTTATTGAAGTATCAACAGTAGATGCAGAAGGTGTATCCTTATTATCGTTACCACTTTTTTTGAAGAATGAATAAATAGTTTTTCCTCTCTTTGCCGGTCTATTATCATCATGTGACATGATATCCTAACAAGAAATATCCAAACCCTAAATCATAAAACCTTAACAACAACAATTAAAATTGGAAATTGAATATATATATAAAAAAAAAAAGAAGAGAAAAACTTACCGAGATTGAAGAACTCACTGAAGATAGGTTGGTACAATTTTTTAGAGGAGGAGAACTATTTCCTCTAGGCTCTCAAGATTAAAATATGGCGTTTTGGGTGGCTAGAAGAATTTTTTTTATGTTTGCTCTCTGTGGGTGTAGCCCAATATCAATACGATTAGAATAGGTCAAGTTGGTAGAGCCTTAGCGTGAGTTCTACTTCTAATCAAATTTATATAGGTTTGGATTGTTGTCTATTATTTCCTATATGCTTCAGGAGTGGGCTTATTTTAAATAAAGCTATTATTTACTTTACTTAAATTGGGCTATTATTAGTTTATTATATTTATTTGGTGTAGTGGGCTAATATTTATTGGAGTAGGAATAAACTTAACTATATTTAATATTTAAAAAATTTCCCTTTCCATATTTAAAAATTAAAAAATTTCCCCTAGGCTGGAGCCCACTCCAACCTAGCTGTACGTCCGCCCTTGCTTATGGGCCGACCCGGTGTGAGCGGGGATTAGTCTAGGTTGTTGTTAAGGTTTAAAGATGCCACCTGTAGTTGGGCCCCATCCAGGACCACCTTGTGGTTCAGACCAAAAAAAAAATAAATAAAATAAAATTGTGTGAGTGTAGAATTGTGAGCATATAAGATTCAATTTTTATTTTTTATTTTTGCATAAAACCCTTAAAATCTCGAGACTAATTATAGTGACAAATTTCATTTCTCATTATTTCGACTTTCATTTTATCAGTCTAAGCGGAAAGTGAAAAGTTTTAAAACCATAAATTAACATTAAAATTTTATTGATATGAAGAGGGGTAAGAATAATACTAGTCTTACCACATTTTTATACCATAATTTTATAATACATGATGTGACAGCTGATGTGTACATACCGACGCATCAGAATTAAGAAAATTTGACAAAAAAGAAAGTGGAAATTAGAACCACAGCCACCCATCAGATCCCACCACACCCACACACCCTACCTGATGGCAAACCCACGTACTCACCCCCTTCTCACACCACCGACTCTCTCTCCCTCTCCCCACCCTCTCTCTCCCACCCACTCACTCTCTGCACTCTCTGGCATTTCGGAGAAGGTCATGTTTGGACCAATAGATGTCATCTCTTTTAGAATTTTGAAGTTGGATTTGTTTTTATTAATTTAAAATAATGGAGAGAGAGAGAGAGAGGATGATGAGGAGGAGAACAGTGGGGGCTGCTAGTGGTGGATGCTTTTCTGTGGCGGCTTGTGGTTGTGTGGGGTGGTACCTTTCTTTTTCTTTTTCTTTATTACAGTTTTTGGTTTTCTAATTTTTTATTTATTAAAATACACTTCAATGATGTCTCATATGATATGAACATATCACATTATGGTATAGAAATGTGGGATAAAAATGTGATAATAAGTGTAGCATTACTTGAGGGGTAAGGGCCCCTCAACCAAATGAAAATTACATTTTGATGATAAAACCTATAATTGGTGCATTACTCAAAAAATTTCACTGCATTGAGAAGCTATAAAATTTTCAGTTATTAGATGGAGTTTTGAATTTAAGATGTCTTCCATCACTCATTTCATGTTGCTTGAGCTAAGATTTATAGGTCCTGACTTATATATGAATTTGACTTTGTTAAAAGTTCATGTATTATGTATTTGTTTGTAAGTTATTTACGCTAACACCTCCTGAAATTTTTGTTGTTTTCACAAAACCCCATGAGGTTTCAAAAATTAAACGAACACCTCCTGAAATTTTAAATTGTTTTCATAAAACTCATTTCCAAGAATTTTTCATCCAAAGATTGATGATTTTATATATAAAAAACTTCTCCAAATGACAAAGTTAGTTTTTGAGATTAGATAGCACATATTCATTAAGGTTAATTTTGTCATTTGCATAAGTATGTTTTAATGAAATCATCAATTTTTAGACAAACAATCAACGAAAAGGGTTTTGTGAAAATATGAAATCTCAGAGGATTTTCATATAATTTTTGAAATCTTAGAGGGTTTTGTAAAAACACCGAAAACCACAAAAAGTGTTGGTGTAAATAACTCTTTGTTTGTTATAATTGTTATGAGAATTTTGTTATTAAACATCACATATTTTTTTAATTAAAATGTTCCAATAGAGTTAAGGTATTTTGCGTTCAGAGTATGATAATTTTTTGTTCGGTTACATTAAAGTATGTGGCAGTCCTCTCAAATGTAGTTTCGGCACTCCACGTTTGGGAGCATGCAAATTAGCCTAGATCAGCATAGCTGCTTCTGGAAAGCTTGGTTGTGCTTCCTCTTTGTGTGCCACCAACCTTAGCTCCCAAAGATCATCTAATTAATTAATTAATTACATCTCTATTCTCTCTCTATCCGGGACTTGCACCAACAAGATTACGCCTCAACAAAGAAGAGAACATTATTGTAATTGAATAAAAGATTTGATAAATAACTTAAGAAAAGCTGGAACATGTCAATGGGGTCTAAACCAGTAGAAAGAGCATTGATTTGCAGACCAGCCGTTTATATCTTCAAAAACCTCGATCAATTACCTACATAGTTCGGATCCCTGGCCCGTATTAAAATACTTAAGATGTCATGCAAGTTCTTATTATTGGTCATCAGAATGAATTCTAATCACACCACAATAATGATGCAGCTATCCAGTAATTTGAATCCTAGTCATACCACAATAAATTTGATGCCTAAACATCCGTACTCCAAGAGGATAAGGAGATATATACAGTAACAATTACTTTCTTTAATTATCGAAACGAATTGAACCCAATTTAATTTCAATTTTAAACCCAATCCATTAGCAATCATTTGTAGGAAATCCATCTGTCATATTTAAGAAATGACTAATAGGCTGCCACTCTCAGTTACCGGCTCTTGAACGAAAACCTACAAATTCGATAAGATATTCATGAACATGGATACCACCTCCAAGACTTCGTAGCTTCCCTTCCTAGACCCCTGGGAAGCCCTACATTTGCTAGTCCGTTTAATAATTCCTAGTATTTAAAGTGGAGATCTGGTGCCCCCACACCAAGAGGTCTTTTGCTTTCGGTTTCAGCCTAATAAGAAAAGGGATTGATTGCAAGTCTAGAATCTCCTTTGAAAGTTAATATCACCTATTAGATGATTAGGCAACAATGTGGTACATGGCTCCAGATTTCTTTTATATTAGGTAAAAATGTGGTGCATGCACCCTTCACCCTACATAAGATCATCTAGGAGCAAGGGAGGTTTGCCATTCAGCATTCAGTGGTAGCTAGTTAGGTCTTTGATAAGAGAAATGGAGACCAAAATCGTTAGGTTTGCAATGGTGACTTGTTTGGTGCTGGGATTGCTCACTGGCCAGCAATTATGGACTCATAGGTTTGCCATTTATTTGTTTCGTAATTCCTACTGACATCCAAGCAAAACCTGAACACTACTGCAAGCTTAGTTCTGCTACATCTTTGTGTTCCAATATTAGCACAGAAGATAATATTAGTACGTAATTAATCTCTCTCTCTCTCTCTCTCTCTCTCTCTCTCTCTCTCTCTCTCTCTCTCTCTCTCTCTCTCTCTCTCTCTCTCTCTCTCTCTCTCTCTCTCTCTCTCTCTCTCTCTCTCTCTCTCTCTCTCTCTCTCTCTCTCTCTCTCTCTCTCTCTCTCTCTCTCTCTCTCTCTCTCTCTCTCTCTCTCTCTCTCTCTCTCTCTCTCTCTCTCTCTCTCTCTCTCTCTCTCTCTCTCTCTCTCTCTCTCTCTCTCTCTCTCTCTCTCTCTCTCTCTCTCTCTCTCTCTCTCTCTCTCTCTCTCTCTCTCTCTCTCTCTCTCTCTCTCTCTCTCTCTCTCTCTCTCTCTCTCTCTCTCTCTCTCTCTCTCTCTCTCTCTCTCTCTCTCTCTCTCTCTCTCTCTCTCTCTCTCTCTCTCTCTCTCTCTCTCTCTCTCTCTCTCTCTCTCTCTCTCTCTCTCTCTCTCTCTCTCTCTCTCTCTCTCTCTCTCTCTCTCTCTCTCTCTCTCTCTCTCTCTCTCTCTCTCTCTCTCTCTCTGTTCATTAACCTTGGATCACACTTTCTTTGCACCACATTTTGATCCTACAATTTTAATAACGGTGATATCCAAATTTATAGCTCGATTCGGTCACATTCGTATTAGAGATGTGGTGCATAATATGATACAAATTGTGGGACTTTACTCATTTG